TATGTATCAACAGTTTGATAGACTATGTATCAACAGTTTGATAGACTATGTATCAACAGTTTGATAGACTATGTATCAACAGGAATGATTGATGAATTTATAGTGGGGAAAATGAAGGGAGAAGAAGATAAAAAATGAAAACTTTACACTTTTAAAAATGGTGCTAATAAAGACGTGGAGGTTTAATAAAGATGGGAATAATAGAAAAATAAAAGGATTGGAGAGAAATGGGTATTATAGCATTGTGATTAAACGGAGAGATAAAGATACTAGAGAAATGGAGGTGGCAAGGAGATGGAGGAAATAAGTTAATGCTGGAACTAAAAAGAAATTTGATTCCTGGTTAAGGGAGGAATAAGATCAGTTAGAGGGAGAACTAAGAATTGTTTTGATGAAGATGGTATCATAAAGCGAAAGTTTAAAAAAAATTAGTATTGAAGGATGGAACTGATATTGACGTACTGAAGGAAGGTCGGTGCAGAGAATTTAAATGCTGATATATTTGTCGAGTCCATGTATGAAAGAAGGAAGAGCATCTCACGATTGACATGGAGCGCATATTGTGCCTCTGTATTATTACTTTTAGATGGTTTAAGCATGTAATAAGAGTTGATGAGGAAGACTGAATAAAATGTATAAATTTGAGTTGAAGTTGTATCGAAACTTTGAGTCAGAGTTGAGCGATTGGTGTGAAGGAGGTTTTGAGAGGCAGGGACTTGAGAAACAAGAGTGTGAGTGTGTTGTTAGATTGGAGTATGTGGAAGCTATTGGTTTCTGAGATTTGACGTGCTGTTGTAGTGTAAGCATGATCATATTGGTGAAGGAATTCAATGAGACTGAAAAGGACGTCTTCAAAGTAGGGGCAAAATGTTTCAATTCTGTGGATTGTCATTAAGTCTTGAAGTTCGTGTTTTTCAGCAGTGACAGTTATGGAGCGAGTGATTGTGAATGTATTTCTTCTTTGCGTCGCTTCCTTGGTTGAAGATAGTGCATGTGTTAAATGTATAATATATGGAGAAAAATAGAACCTACCAGTGAAGAAAGTGGCTAAGCAAGCAGCGAGGAGAGGGGGGGGGAGGATGTATGGTGATAGTAGTGGTAATGTTGGTAACAGTAGTGGTTGTGGTGGTGATAGCTGTGGTTATGATGGTGATAATGCCTCGGTCACACCACCATCACAACAATCACCACCACCATCACCACTACCAAGTGAAAGTAACGGAGAAAGTGCAAAGGCATCTTCACATTCATTAAGAAAAGTATTATCCAGGACAGACAGATCAGAAACTCCAGCCGCCACTAACCAGGCTTGTAAAATGGCTCATCTAACTAGAAGGAAAGCTGGCTAAAGGAATTTTACCAAATATGCGCTGAATTATAAAAAAATCGCCAGTGAGTAAAAACATCAGCTGAAAAAATCTAGAACTGGAAGGGATTGATAGATTCACGAACGTCTTATGGATAAATCTGGAGTCGTGGATAAACGATATCCCAAGTTGATAAGAAGGGAGAAAAACCATGTTCGTAGTGAAACCTTTGTTACGACGCTTCGTCCTTAATTGGACTTTATTAACAACAGAGTCCAGTCACGGACAAAATGTCATGACAGATGTTTGACTGCAAATGTTATGTGCTTCTTAGACCTAGAAAAGTAGCTTGAGGAATGGAGCAGAAGGTGGAGTCCCACACTTCCTCCGTGTACAAGAGTTGACGTGTAATAAGTGAGCACTTATCGAACACCAAACACATCATGCCTCTGATGTGAACACAGACTGATGTCATCATTCCTTATTTCCCATCGTAAATAATTTCCCCTCAAGACTCCTGATGCGCCGGGCTGTGGTTCTTACGTCGGTTTATATGCCGTCAGTCATAACAGTCTGGTTGATCAGGCTCTGATCCACCGCGAGGCCTAGTCACAGACCGGGACGCGGGGGCGTTGACCCCCGAAACTCTCTCTAGGCATACTCCAGGTATACCCTTCACCCCCAGCATACCCCTTCCCACATCACCCCCTCTACCCCCACCCACCGACACAAACAATACATTTATTTGCTCTCTGTGTTTTTCTTAATTTCCAAAACCTGTTTTCTTGTTATTTGCTTAAATTTTTAGTCCAAAAGAAAACTAATTCATAGTAGAGGTCAAAATTTTGCATCTAGCGACTCATGAAATTAAACTAATAGATCCCGCAGTGGACGCTGTACTGGCTTCCTGGGCTATGAGTGACTTGCCACAGGTTTGAACTTTGTTCCGTTTAGTGAGTTGATTTGTAAAGCACAATAGTTGTTACGGCCAGATGGAGATGGAAAGTAAGAGAGTGAGTGCAAGTTATGGCGTTGCTACTTTATAACATGGACCGTAAAAGAGAGGTTACTGTGTGAAAAATAAAGACAGAAATGTAGTATAATGCGAACCATTACAGACGACATTTCACCCAGACAGCGGTTGAGACGTGCTCAATAAAGCATCGTATTTCGGTATATTAATCCATTTCTATCCATCCACTTGGAAGAATTATTAATACAATGAATTATATTTCCCTCCCTTTAACTGGATCAAACATAATTACCTCCCATTGCTTAGGTACTGCAAGTTAAGGATTCTATTATTAACTAAAAATACTAATGAGGCGCATTGTCTATCTTGATATTAAAATAACAGCCAACTAAACATACCAGAAGCAGAAATAAGAATTGAAAACTAATTCACTGAGCGTGATGGTTAAATTATACAATAGTGAAGCAACACGTGAGAAGGATGGTGCTGACTGGGGAGTCATATTCAAGCTGGGAGATGCTGACTGTGGTGTTCAAGCTGGGAGATGCTGGCTGGGGAGTCATGTTCAAGCTGGGAGATGCTGACTCTGGTGTTCAAGCTGAGATGCTGGCTGGGGAGTCGTGTTCAAGCTGGGAGATGCTGACTGTGGTGTTCAAGCTGGGAGATGGTGACTATGGTGTTCAAGCTGGGAGATGGTGACTGGGGTGTTCAAGCTGGGAGATGCTGACTGTAGTGTTCAAGCTGGGAGATGCTGACTGTGGTGATCAAGCTGGGAGATACTGACTGTGGTGTTCAAGCTGGGAGATGCTGACTGGAATGTTCAAGCTGGGAGATGCTGGCTGGGAAATATTGCTTGTCAGAACTCAAGCTGGGAGGTGCTGGGTTAAAAGTGGGGCTAAACACTATGCTATCCTGGTGACTACAACAAGCCCAACCTATACTGGAAAGATTGTAAGCCATAAGCCTGAGAAAGAGGGAGACAGGAAGAGAGAAGGAGGAAGAAGAGGGAGAGAAACGGAAGTTTTGTGGGTAGAGAGAGAGAGAGATAGATGGATAGGGAGCTGATAAACATTATAACATACGAGACTTTCACTGTTACAACAAAATTTTTATTCTGTTTAGAACCTCCGCGATAGGGTCTGGATAGAACCTAGGGATGATAATTTTCTTGGAGATATAGAAATACGAGGGAGGGAAGGAGGGAGGAAAGGAGGGAGGGAGGGAGGGAGGGAGGGAGGGTGGCTCAAAACAAGTCATACACACTCATACACACCCCTCTAAGTATTTTAACGTACAGTACTCACCCTACTGCCTGACCAATGCTACGAACCACTCACCCATATGATAATTCTCTCTCTGAAAATGTCCATTAAGATGTAAATATTCTTTATGAACGCAGCTTGCTTCATACCAGTAATGCAAACAAGAGATTACCACACAATGTTTATGTAAAAATCCCAGTTATACTAGATGCTGTTAAATCACAAGACAAATTGATTATACATTCGAGGCAAATGTCTTATACATAATGTTAGTTATATTACTCAACACTCAATGTATAATGTTGTGTTAGTGTAAATCACTGCCCACACGCACGCTGTGCCCACTAATTTAACACAGCAGGTACAAAGTTATCCCACAACATTTACAAATTATATCACATATGAAATTATTTCGTAAGTGGCTTTTTACCACATAACATGTAAATAATTTACACTGTAAGTGTAAATCATTAAACAAACTGTTAAGTAAATAGTTCATATATATGATATTAGGTTCTCATCCAGTAGCACCAACCATACAGCCACAACCTGATATACCACTGCAGTAGTAGTAGTAGTAGTAGTAGTAGTAGTAGTAGTAGTAGTAGTAGTAGTAGTAGTAATAGTAGTAGTAATAGTTGTAGTAGTAGTAGTAGTAGTAGTAGTAGTAGTAGTAGTAGTAGTAGCAGTGCATATAGTTTTAATAGTAGTAGTAGTAGTAGTAGCAGTGCATATAGTTTTAATAGTAGCAGTTGTAGAAATAATCTTAATAGTAGTAACAGTAACGGTAGTAGTGATGATAGTGGTAATAGTAGCATTAGTATTAGTAGTAGCAGCACTTCCAATATTAGTAGCACTAGTAGTAGTAGTAGTAGTAGTAATCATGGTAGTAACAGTAGTGCTAGTAGCAGTAACTGCAGTAGTAGTAGTAATAGTAGTTGCAGCACTAGCAATATTAGAAGCAGTAGTAGAAGTAGTAGTGGAAATAGTCTCAGTAGTAGAAGTAGTAGTGGAAATAGTCTCAGTAGTAGTATTAGTAGTAATGATATTTCTAAAGGAGTTAAAATCAATAGAATGATTGAGTTAAGGAAGACTGAAAAACGGAAGTGAACAGTCTAGGTCAATTTGTTAGAGGAGAGTTTTAATCGTTAGACCAGCAGGCTAGGACAGACTGAAGACTAGCACAGAGGTTTAGACACAAGACTGGAACTGAGATCTACGACAGATAGCCTTAGGACGCAAGACTGGACCTAAGAACTAGGACAGATATCATTAAGAAAGTTGAAGACAAAGACATATAGCCTAGGATGCGCATTTGCAGCTGAGGGCTAGGACGAAGAACCTAGAACACAGAACTGGAGCTGAGGGCTGGGACTGAGATGTGCTGGTGTCTGCCCCTGTGGCACCTCCTGCTAGTGGCACTCACATTCATGGCTCTCAAACACTTACAGAACTTAC